TCTCTTTCTCTACAAACAAAATTTTCCCAACAGAAGGCAGCCCTATCCATGCCACACTATCCAAAGTGCCAAGGTAAAGGTAAAGGGACCCCTGACCATTAGGTCCAGTCGTGGCCGACTCTGGGGTTGCGGCGCTCATCTCGCTTTATTGGCCGAGGGAGCCGGCATACAGCTTCCGGGTCATGTGGCCAGCATGACTAAGCCGCTTCTGGAGAACCAGAGCAGCACACGGAAACGCTGTTTACCTTCCCACCGGAGCGGTACCTATTTATCTACTTGCACTTTGAGGTGCTTTCGAACTGCTAGGTGGGCAGGAGCAGGGACCGAGCAACAGGAGCTCACCCCATCATAGGGATTCGAACCGCCGACCTTCTGATCGGCAAGTCCTAGGCTCTGTGGTTTAACCCACAGCGCCACCCATGTCCCATAAGTGCCAAGGTAACATCCACCAAACGTTGCAACAGCCAATAGGCTCAAACACCAGCGTGGGGAAATGAGACAGAGGACAGTGGTGGGAAAGCAGGAGAGGAAAATAGTTCTCCAAAGAACAGCTTTCGAACATGTGATTCCATTCTGCTTGCCAAAAACAGAAGGCGCTTTCCAGCACAAGAAAACTGAAGCCAATCAAGATAACCAGTTCTGGAACAGCCCTATTAAGAGATATTTTAACATACAGTACATCTGACGACTGATTTACAAATCCACAAGTTATTCAAGGGCTACGGAGGTATTATTAGAAACTGAATGAGGGCATAACAACAGGGCACGGTTTCAAGGACTTCAGATTCTTCAATGAGATGCAGGATTAAGCTTGATCTGAAAGTCCCGTTTCCCACCATGCAACAACAGCTCAGTCTCTTTGGCCTGGGATAAGCCAGCTTTTTACCAGGCCGCAAAACTTGCTTCCCTTCCTTATCCCTCCTCTCCCCATTATAATGCTTAATGAAATAAAAGAGAAATATTACTGTAGGTAATAGCTTGGCTGCACTTCAGGGCACCCATAAAGCAATGGTATCTGTCACCCAGATATTATGTTGAGAGTTAGAGTCGGAGGGCTGTGGAATCATTTGCAGAGTTGTTTTGAACATGGCATGTATCCATAACCCCACCCACTCAAATAAGACTTTTCCACATTTGACCCACAGGATTTCCACTCTTCGGACCCTATGGACTTCACTAACCCCACACTTTTAGTTAGGTTGCTGCGTTTCAGTTCATAGGCATGCATACTGATGTTTTGTAACTAGACAGTACCAAAATCTAACACTTATTCATAAGCTTGCTTTCCAGATCACCTTGGCCTGGCCTGAAGACCTGGTTGCATCTTCCACCTTGTCTCTAGCAACTTCAAGATAATAGTCTCTTTCCTTTGAACCACAGAAACACTGCTTAAGACAGAAGCGTAAGCCTTGGTGTGTGTTGTTTTGGGTGCAAAGGAGGTTTCCGCCAATCCTCCCTCCCTCTGTACTCCCCACGTCACTTCTGCTCCTCCCTGCTTGCTAACCCCCTCAGTCTTGCTCCTTGACTGCTCCAGAAAACAAACAAACAAAGACAAAAAAACAACAACAGAGCTGCCCATTTCCTCCGGCATTTTGGGTGGCCCTCCAGAGCAGATTTTTTGGGTTGCAGAAGAAACCAGACCCTCCAAGTGTCCCTATTTTTCAGGGACAGTCCCAGATTTACAGAAGCTGTCCCAGTTTCTGACTTGATCCTGGAATGTCCCGCTTTTCCTTAGGACACCTTCATTTTCATCAGAGAAATGTTGGAGGGTATGGGAAACCCAGCTAAATGGGCAGGGTATAAATAATAAATTGTTGTTGTTATGGTATGACGTTCCTATTTTCAGAAAATGTTAGAGGGTATAGAGCAGCTTTTCTCAACCTGTGGGTCCCCAGATGTTGTTGAACAACAACTCCCATCACCCCTAGCTAGCAAGGCCAGAGCTCAGGGATGATGGGAGTTGTAGTCCAACAACATCTGGGGACCCACAGGTTGAGAACCGCTGGTATAGAGTTATCTGACCCTGCGCCATCGGAAGGCAGCCCTGTATAGGGAAGTTTTTTAAACGTTTAATGTTTTATTACGTTTTTATATTTGTTGGAAGCAGCCCAGAGTGGCTGGGGCAACCCAGACAGATGGGTCGGGTATTACTATTATTATTAAACAGGATATCCCTATTCCATAATGTTGGAGGGTTTGGCAAACCAATAACTGAGTACACAACAGCACACCCATCTCTTCTTCTAGCTCCTGGATCATTCCTGAAAACCCTACTGCTATTTACCCCCTTCACCTCCCCATTTACCTCCCTAAGAATTGGTTCACAGCTACAACACCTGTACTATGCAAGTGCCAAAGCTTCTTCCTCTGCTGTAGCTCCTTTAACAGAGTGGCAGCCTCAGCCAGGCCACTTCCTTCCTCTTACGTCTCTGTGAAGCCACCTAGGGCTTTTATTAGCATGTGGCTGCTCTCGGACAGGTGCCATTTCCTAAGCTCCTTGGGGCAGGTTCAGCTGTAACCAGCTTAAATCCTCCTTAAAGATCTGTCTGAGTGTCCGTGGGTGCGGGGGAAGTGGGGTGTTTGGAGAATAAAAATGACAAGATCAGTTCGCAGCCTCTTGAAGCTGAAAGTGGAGGCCTGCTGCTTGCTCCTTTTCAACCTCACTGATCAGTTTACCTCAATTTACTGCCTCAAAGCCAGCTGTGAAGAGAGAAGCCCTGGAAGGTGACTCTCTCCATCCTGCATGGGAGTTAATCCATCTCCAGCGTACCAAGTGCCTGGAAACTGGCGCTTGGGTTATTGGTTTTTGTATTTAAGGATGACAAGGCACAGAATTAGGAAAAAACACGCTCAAGCAGCCTCTGAGTTACAGTGGAACAGAGGGAGCTGGGCCACTCCTGGCTGTGCTTCAGTCTACAGATATCTGTTTGTGGGAAATCTAGATTTTCATGGCTGAGTGCAGATTTGAACCCTGGTCTCCTGAGTCTCGGTCTGACACTCTAACAACCACACCACACTGGTTCTCACTTAATACAGTATATAATACTTAATACTGCATTAATTTACAGCGCCACGTAATAACTACCTGAAACAACATTCCGCCTAAGTTCTGCAAAGTTCAAAACCAAGCTTTTATTTATTTGATTAATCTGCACCAAACAGTTGGTATACACGATGCTTTCCTTGGCAAAGTAGACAAGGCTCTGCTCCAATGAATTTATAATCTAAAAGAAACAGTGGGCAAGAGAAAGGGAAAAGGTTATCTGAAGCAAACATTCAGCTCTGTGTGTGTAAGTTACCCGCAACCAAATCTCTCACCAGCAACCTCTTCTAGCAACCACATTATTTTCCAGAACCTTAAAGCCCTCTTGGAGCGATGGCAAGACAGATTGCCATCACTCTGACTTGGCTTCAGAACAGTGTGATGTCGTAGCATTATTCAGGAGCGAATCAGAGTGCAGCTCACCTTAAGGAACTTCTGTGTGACCACACTCATACACACAAAAGAGTGAGGGCAGGAGCCATTAGCTGCTTGGAGTGCAACAGGGAAGTTTCTGATTTCTGCCCACTTTGCCGCTCCCAAATTTGCCACCTGCAAATGGGGGTGGTAAAAATGAGGGGCCCGCTCAGCTCAGCTCAGCTCAGCCTAAACTCATTTAAAAGCTTATTTCCAGTTGCAGAAGACGATTAAGATGACAAGAACACCGAGTTAAAGAAAGAAACGAGGAGGAACGTAAGAAGTTGCTTTGATCCATCTACAGTGACTGGCAGTAGCTGTCCAAGGTCTCAGACCAAGGACATTCCAAGCTGTAGCCAGAGATGTCGGGGACAGAGCCTGATATGAACCTGGGGCCTTCTGTATACAAAGCAGATGTTCTGTCATTGATCTATGATCCCTTCCCTGATGGAACCCAGGAAGCTATGTTTTCCTGACTCAGACCATTGGTCTACATAGCTCATTCGTGCTGGTTTTAACTTTTAAAGCCCTATACGGCCTAGGACCCCCGTACCTATGGGACCACCTCTCCTGGTATGTCCCATGGAGGACCTTATGGTCTTCAAACAAAAATATCTTGGAGGTCCCGGGCCACAGGGAGGTTAGGCTGGCCTCAACCAGAGCCAGGGCTTTTTCGGCTGTGGCCCCAATCTGGTGGAACGCTCTGTCACAAGAGACTAGGGCCTTGGGGGATTTGACATCTTTCCGCAGGGCCTGCAAGACATAGCTGTTCCGCCAGGCCTTTGGCTAAGGCTCAGTCTGACCCCCTCCTTTGGCAATCTTCACAGAACTCTAGCCCAATGGTTGCCATTAATTTGATTTTGAATTGATTTTAACATGAATTGATTTTAGAATGCTGTTTTACTTTCATTGTTGTTAGCCACTCTGAGCCCGGCTTTGGCTGGGGAGGGCAGGATAGAAATAAATTTTTTTTATTATTATTTATTATTGTTGTTTACAGTGACTAGTGGCAGCAGGCATTCTCCAGGATTTCAGATAAGGCCCCGTCCCAACCTGCAGATGCCAGGGGCCTTCTGTCTGCTCAGATACAGACTCTGGAAAAGGTGGGTTCTGAGGAGTGATGCTTGCAGCTCCTTAAGACTGTTGCGCCAACTCCCCCACCCCCTTTCCCATTTGTTCTGTGTTTTGTGCCGGAGTGAGAGAGCAAATCCACACATCACCTCCTGTAAACACACTTGGCGGTGTTTCTGTTCGGTTAATGGTACTTCCTGTGTAAAGGTCACTGAACACGCAGCGTATCGAAGCCGTAATGGCTCAATTTAACATCCTGAGTACTGAAGTGAAACTATTCTCTCCTTCTCCGAAACGACTCTGTCAGCTGTTTTCCCCCACTGCAAGCAGCCTGTCCTGTGGCTCAGGGATGCTGGCCCAAGGTATGTATTATGAACGGATGACAAAACCAAAACCACGGGGCTTGCAGGTTGACAGGGAACTTGTAGGTGCACAGCCCTACAAACTTTTCAACCTGAATCTTTTTTTTTTTATAAGATATTTATTGAGATTTTCAAGATGTTACAAAATAAATAAAAGAAAAAAAGAAAAAAGTACAAAATAAAAATGGTTAAAAACAACTCAATCTTTCCATTACTTATTTTTCATTAGCTTGTTTCCCGGACCTCCTCACGCCTCCCTTTTTTGTATTCCAGTTCAGTTTGTTGGTTCAGCAAATTCATACCCTCTTTGTTTATCCTAGTCTTTAATCTTAAAATATTGTAAAGTTGAATTTTTACCTATTAATAATCCATTTTTCATATTCCCTTATAGTATTACAGCTGAAAACCACTTAATTTCTATCCAACATCATTCTAACATTCATTAATTTTACAATATTTCTGTAGATAGTCTTTAAATTTCTTCCAATCTTCTTCCACCGACTCTTCTCCCTGGTCTCGGATTCTGCCAGTCATTTCCGCCAGTTCCATATAGTCCATCACCTTCATCTGCCATTCTTCCAGCGTGCTTTTCAACCTGAATCAAGGGTTCTCCTTATGTTAGGTATAGGGAAGCCTTTTCAGCCTGGGGACTGCATTCAGTTCCAGGTACCAATGTGCCCATAGTGGCCGGAACCACAGGCAACAGTGAGCGGGCAAATTGAGGCAAACTTTTACCTTTGAACAGCAGGCAGGTTTCCACACAGACACCTCTCTATCCTCCTCACAGGCAAGGAAAGTGGGTGCAAAGGAGGGGTGTTTGTATTGTCCAGAGGGCTTGGAGGCTGAATTTGGCCCCCAGGCCTGATCTTCCCCGTTTCTGGCTTATCTCTGGAATTTTTGTGTGTGGCTTTACATCGTAATATTGCCCTGTGATCCTCAGGTGAAGGGCAGTATTAGAAATTTAATAATAACAGTACTGTCATTATTGGCAGGCCATACGAACTCTGTAGAATGAATATATTTGGTAGCCTGGCTTTCTACTCTCAACCAGCCAACAGACAATGACCTTCTGCCTCTTGTCCTCTAGGGTTCAGCTCAAGCTCCCACTTCCAGCTTTAGCAGCTGAATTTGAGGTCCTTTGCTCTGGATTTGGCTCTAGCAAGCCACGGCTGCTGCCTGACCTCCCGGGGAAACCCTTCTCCGGAAATCTTCCCCCACCTGCTGCTAATTACTGCAGTGCAAACTCAAAGCAGGCCTTATCAAACCGCCGAGAAGCCTCAGTCGAAAGCAAGGTCTATTATCCCTACAATCGGAAATATCCCACGGACAAGAGAACTGCAAAGCTTCAGCATCCAGCCACTTAAGACGAGCAGTGCTCAATAAGAGGTAATACTCAAGAGCCCAAAATCCCGCTTCTTGAGAAAACTAAGGGAATGACATTTAATCCCTGGTGCGTGAGCTTCTGGTCTAATGAAGGGGAGAGGGAGAACCTCCAGTGTCTGACGAAAGGACATTTTGTACCGCATTACGGAGAGAAAAAACTGTGGTGAAGTTAACAGGCTGTGTCCTTTCACTGCCAGTAGCAAAGGGTAATGCGGTTACACCCAAAGTTCTCGCCCCAAAAGTTTGTGCAATTGGAAAAAAAACGGGGGCTTCTTTTGTTTACATATTTTTCTCAGTTGTCACAGCCAGCTAGGAAAAAGTTACCTCATTCTGAGCACAGTCTGGAACGGATGTGGACGGCTATTCGAGATCTATGACAAGTCTTGCTGGACTCCAAGTCCTATCAACCCTTTCCCAGCATGGCCAATAGCCAGGGATGATGGTAACTGTGGCCCAACAACATTCAGAGGGCCACAGGCTACCTACCCTTGTCCTACATCACATGCTATAAACCTTTAAACATGGGTGCTGTGCACTTGCTTGTCAATGACGGCAACGTGTGCTGAGTGATAATAATAAATAATAATAATAAATTTTATTTATACCCCGCCCTCCCCAGCCAAGACCGGGCTCAGGGCGGCTAACACCAGATATAAAAACAATTGATTAAAACACAACTTAAAAATGAGATGAAAATACAACATTAAAATTCAGCCTCATTTCAGTAGAAACTCAAATCAAAAACATTTTGGGGATGAAAACGTCAAATCTTCACCAAGGCCAACTATCCAGACTAGTCCTACATGGGCGAAAAAAAAGCCAGGGAAGTCCCCAAATAGGAGTTCCATCACAGAAGGAGAAAGGAAAAAGGAAGAGGGGGAGGGGATCAAACTGATTCCAAGCCAAAGGCCAGGCAGAACAACTCTGTCTTACAGGCCCTGCGGAAAGAAATCAGATCCTGCAGGGCCCTGGTCTCATGAGACAGAACATTCCACCAGGCTGGAGCCCGTGTTGAAAAGGCCCTGGCTCTGGTTGAGGCTAATCTGACTTCCTTAGGGCCCAGGACCTCTAGAGTGTTGCTATTTATGGACCTTTATGGTCCTCCGCGGGGCATACCGGGAGAGGCGGTCCCTTAGGTACGAGGGTCCTAGGCCGTGATGTGGCTGAAGTCATGAAACAGCAGCTGACACATGGATTGCATTATCTCAGATGCTATATTTTACAATTACAGATCTTTAGATGAATTTTTATGGAGGAGAGGGCTATTGATGGCTACTAGCCATGAAGGCTATGGTCTCCCCCTATAGCTGGAGGAAGCAATGCTTCTGAATGTCAGTTGCTGGGAACCACTGGAGGGGAGAAAGCTCTTGTACTCGGTTCCTCCTTCCTGGTCCTCCACAGGTAAGAGAACAGGACACTAGGCTAGATGGATTGGCTGGATCCAGGTAGCTCCTCTTACCTTCTTACGCTTTTGGAATCCATTGTTTATACTGTACTGTGTTTACTGATTTATGGCATTTTTATTGTAGGCTTCCTCCAAGGAGCAGAGTGAAGCAAATACACCCCTATTTTATCCTCACAATAATCCTAAGAATTGGGCTATGTTAAGAGAGGGAATAACTGGTCCAAGAGCACACAATGAACTTTGTGACTGGACCTCTCCAGTCTGACATACTAAGCCCTATAGTTAATTAGGAATTAAGCAAGTTTGTGATGGTGTTGTAGTCTCCCTGAAGGATCAGGTACATAATCTGGACGTGCTCTTGGATTCATATTTGTCATCTGAAAGCCACAAGGCACTGGTGTCTCCAAGTGACTATTTCCAACTCTGTTGTGGACCAAGATCGGCTTGTCATAGTTGTAGGTTCCTTTGAGTTGCCTTTGGCAAAAGGATGCAGCCACTAAACTCAATCACCACCACCACCACCATCATCATCAACAACACTATTGCAAACCACGGATCCCTCCTGTATAGACTACTGTATCATGCTCTACCTTGGGCTGCCCTTGAAGACAAGCTCTCCCCTCCTGTTCTATGCACAGAAGCCAACTGTACTGGCATTAAAAACAACAACGAAAAACAATGGCAAAAGGGCAGCATCGTCCACGGCACCTGAGGGCAGAAGTCTAGCTAGGGTACAAGGCAGATGGTGTGGCACAAACTGCTCTGTTTGCTTCCATGCCCCTCAGCACCTGCCACCTGAGGTTGATGTTTCACATTGCCTAATGGTAGAACTGGCCCTGTAATTTATGTACTACAAGGAAGGAAGGAAGGAAGGAAGGTAGGAAGGAAGGAAGGAAGGAACCACTTCAAAGCAATTCACCAAAAATATGTGATCCACTGCCTTTTGATGCATAACCAGCAAGGAAAAAATGGTGAGGCAGGCAAGGACATCTCATCCTGGTCAAGAACCGAATTAACACAAATACAAATATTTACTACAAACATATATAAGCTTTGTATGGCTATAGCAGTGAGAACTTCACCAAAGAACCCTGGGAACTGTAGTTCAGTGAAGGTGTTCTAGCCAGGAGCCCCACTTTCAAGAAAACAAATACCGTATTTTTTGCACCATAACACTCACTTTTTTCCTCCTAGAAAGTAAGGGGAAATGTCTGTGCGTGTTATGGAGCGAATGCGGGGGGGATCTGCTGCAGTCGTGAGCAGAGGATCCATGGTTCCCCTTCCTTCCCTCCTCCGTGGTTACAAAGCATGGATCCGCATGGATCCTCAGGATTTTTGCATTGGGCTACTCCAAACTCACTGTCAGATCACATGTCTGTGGCCACAGCATGAACCACAAAAATCATATATCCACTATTTCGTTTAGAATATTTTTTTTCTTGTTTTCCTCCTCTAAAAACTACGTGCGTGTTATGGTCTGGTGCGTGTTATAGAGCGAAAAATACGGTAGTCACTTAGTTACATGAATATGGGTATGAAAGTATTCTGCATTTGTAGTTTCAATGTGAAACCATAGATTAACACAGTTCTAGATGTTCAGTTCTAGAATAATAATAAAAAACACCAGGGGGAGAGGCCAGGGAATATATTCTTCAAATCAGATGGCTTAATGGCGCAGTTTTATAGCTCAGTGGTTCTGAACAATCACAATCTGCTGTCAAAAGAACGAGCGCTAATTAGTCCCAGAAGTTAACGTTGCCACTTCTAAATGATATGATATAGAGATTTGTCTGCTCGACATACGTACGGTGCCAACGCTACAAAAATGAAAAATCAATCAAAATCACAATATGAAAGCTACCTAAAAGTGACTAGATCCATTGTGCTTCTTTAGATCTGATTTTACATGCCGGGTTTCATCTCTCACCATCTATTTATGTATAATAAGCCTACCATGGAAACAGCCAGGAACTAAAAGTTAGGAAACTGAATTACTGTTCTGGATATCTATATCTATCTATATCTCTGTATGTGTGCGCGCGTCTATATATATATATATATATATATATATATATATATGCATGTTATACATGAACAGATATGTTTGCTGTTAAAATGAAGTCCACATAGGAATGGGTGAATCTTTCCATTTTGGTTTCTTTCAGTTTCTCTATCTCTCTCTCTCTCTCCCCCCCCCCCCCCATTCTTAAGCTCCATTTTTCACATTTCCATACCAGTTTGCTTTTTTTTTAAGCCCTTATGAAATAGTGTAAATTACTCCTAACGTACATAAAATTGTAAGCAATTTTGCCTAAGATTGCACATTTAACTGATATGAAAATGTGAAGAACATTGGAAAAATGAGAAATGGAGAATTTGTTTATTTAGTGGATTCATATCCTGCCATTCTGCCAAGGCACCAAAGGTGGCTTACAATTTTAAAACATTAAAACAGGTACATTATTTTTAAAAAATGAAGAGTGACAGAGTCCTATCAGTTCAACGTGGAGCTGTTGGTCTGTGTGGTCTCTGACTTGGACTCGGTTGCTTCCGCCTTCCCCTCAGGGCATGCAAGGTCCTCAGCAGCCCTCAGGTTGCTTTCTAAAATAAACTGTCTCCCCTTTGCTTGGTGTCTCAGGGCTCCAAACTTGGGGACAATCTCAGGCCAGGAAATCTCATACACACACACACACACACACACACACACATCATATCATATATATATATATATATATATATATGATTAGTTTTTTAAAGTACCATTTTCAACAATAATTAAACATACTTTTACATCTTATTCAATTTTTTTGACTTCCATCAGTCCTGTCTAAAAATTTTCCAATCTAATTTCTTAGTATGCATTTCTTATTTTCCCTATTACATTTCAAAATCATAACCAATATCTCTATCTTTTTCTACTTTGTAACACTTCGTATATTTCTCCTTACAAAACATCTTGTAGTCCCACTAATGTAATTTGTTGATTACAGTTGCTCTTCAAATAATTCATATACTTCTTCCAATCTTCTGTAAATGTACATATATTCCAAAGATTGCCTGGCCCAGAACCAGAGATTTACAGGCCAGGAATCATATGCACTTCTGGTCGGAACAGGCTGTTGGACTTCAAACGCCATTGAGCTCCAGCCATCAGGGATAACTTTCTGACAATAAGAGCTGTTTGACAGTGGAACGGTCTCCCTCAAGAGGTTGTGGACTCTCCTTCCTTGGAAGTTTTGAAGCAGAGGTTGGATGGCCATCTGTCATGCATAAATGCTTTCGTTGAGATTCCTGTATCGCAGGGGGTTGGACTAGATTACTCTTGGGGTCCCTCCCACCTGTACAATTCTCCGATTCTATGATCAGAGCCAGTAGTTAGGGATAGTAGGGACTGTAGTTCAACAACATCTGGAGGGCTCCAGGTTCTGTGCTGCTGCAAGGCATGTTCCTCATATCTGCGGTGCCCTTTCTGCCACCAAACAAAACTGCTATAATGAAAACTAGCAGCCCCCTGAAGGACACACAGTGCCCCAAATCCATATGCAACGTACCTGCCTGAGTGCCAGGATGCGGCCCCTTTTCTGCCCGTCTCCGAAACAACCCACTCCATCCTCGTAACAATGCCACATAAATAAGAAACAGCGGCTCCACATTTCACGAATGACTGGCAGAGATAACATCATACAAACCATTAAGCGCTGCGTTTATGGCACAGACAGTGTCAAATCTTATTGATACAGGATGACGGTTATCGGAACAGCTTGAGTTCCCATGCATCTTGCCAAAAGGCGGTGTGTGTGTGTGTGTGTGTGTGTGTGTGTGTGGGAGGGCTAATGCGCTGTAAAATAGGATTGGGATATATTTTATCATCTCTCCATTCGCATTACACACAGATTTGTTTCTGGCTTCTCAGATAAATCCATGTTCTCCCAGCCACCATGAATGTGGTGAAGCGCAAGGTCTCGCACACCTGCATTCCAACGCACAGCTGGCTTGGCTGCTGCCAGCAAACTTTTGAGAACCAGGGAGGAGTGAATCTGCCAATTTCTGTTTCTCTCACTTTCTCATCCCTGCCCGCCCCACCCCCACCCCTGGCCGCAGTATTAAATTCAACTTCCACGTTCCCACATCTGTTTGCTTTTTTAAAAAAGGCCTTAGTCACCAACATTTTAGTGCCACTTCCCCCCCCCCACAATTTTGTACGCAGTTCTGCTTTAGACAGCCATTTCTGCAAAGCAGTTTCCCTTGATATAATGCATCTCTGCATGTTACTTTCACAAATATATTCGCTTTTTTATGCATGCACTTTGGTACAGCTTCGCTGCAGAACCGCATTGCAAAAATCTGGAAAAGTGCGAATTTTGCCTCTGTGTTTTGGCTTGTGTGTCGTTTCTTGAAAGCGCTGATGAGGCAGGTTCTCCTTCAAATGAGAAATGGATAAGATTTCTCCCTGTCCCCATTCCCTACTCAGCACTTATATGCACCAGATTTTTTTGTCTGGTGTGAAAGTGCTCCAGTTTCACTAGGTCCTGGAACCAATGAGAGTCACATGCCTTTCTAGAGTGAAGCTTATATAGAATTCCAAGGTCTAATTATCAAAAGTTCTCAAATAGGGCTTGGTTATCACTATGTTGGAAATTAGATCCTTCCCCAAACAGGGCTACTGGAGTTCTTAAGATCTAGGAAGCACGTTGTGTGGGGGACAGTGGGCAGAGCTGGGTATGCCTAGCCTAGAGGAGAGAGGAGATTAAGCGGAGACAGGATAGCAGTCTTCAAATATCTGAAGGGTGTCGTGCAGGAGCTGGTTTGTGCTCTGTTGCTCTGAGAGGCCAGAGATAGAGCTAATGGGTGGAAATGGAAAGAAAACAGATGCCAGCCAAGCATAAGGTGAAAACTTTCCAGTGATAAGAGCTATTTGGCAGTGGAACAGACTGCTTTGGGAGGTGGCGTGTTCTCCTCTGCTGGGAGCATCTAAGTAAAGGCTATATCTGCCAAGGATGCTGTAGTTGCATCCTGCATCGCAGAGAACCAACAAGAGTCTCTATTTTTCAGGGACAGCACCGGATTCACAGAAGCCACCCCAGTTTTCCAATCTCAGAAATGTCCTGCTTTTCCTTAGGACATCCCTATTTTCATTGGAGAAAAGTTGGCGGGTATGGTAAAATGTCCCTGTTTTCATCAGAGTTATGCAACCCCCGAGCCAAGGATATAAGTAGCTATACAGTGGTACCTCGAGTTAAGAACTTAATTCGTTCCGGAGGTCCGTTCTTAACCTGAAACTGTTCTTAACCTGAGGTACCACTTTAGCTAATGGGGCCTCCCGCTGCCGCCGTGCGATTTATGTTCTCATCCTGAAGCAAAGTTCTTAACCTGAGGTACTATTTCTGGGTTAGCGGAGTCTGTAACCTGAAGTGTCTGTAACCTGAGGTACCACTGTACAACCTTTAGAAGACATCTGAAGGCAGCCCTGTATAGGGAAGTTTTTAAATGTTTTTAGTGTTTTTATATGTGTGTTGGAAGCCCCCTAGAGTGGCTGGGTGACCTAGTCAGATGGGTGGGGTATTACTACTACTACTATTACTACTACTACTACTATTATTTAAAATTGCATCCCTATTTTCATCACAGAAAAGTTGGAGGGTATAACTGCAGACCCAGCATTGACCAGAGGAGTTGGACTAGTTCAAGCATAGGCAAACTTGGCCCTCCAGATGTTTTGGGACTACAACTCCCATCATCCCTAGCTAACAGGACTAGTGGTCAGGGATGAATTGTAGCCCCAAAACATCTGGAGGGCCAAGTTTGCCTATGCCTGGACGAGTGGATTTCACAAGTTCTTCCAACTCTTGATATTTCTCCAGTACTGCAGATGGTTTCAGGAGGGACAACTGAATGGTTTCTGAAGGTATGCAGAATCTCCTCCTCCTCCTCACATATCCATAGCTCCCAAACATGCCTGGGACCCATCAGAGAACTCCCCCTCCGCCAAGCAATGACACTAAAGTGTTTGCATTCTTTCTTTCTTTTCTTTTTTTAAATGATTGCAGCCTCAGGAGAAAGGAAGGATAATGCTCTTAACAGAGATTTCACAAGCAAAGAACTCTAATTATGTTCTATGGTCCAACAATGAACTTTAAAGTCAGGAACATCTGGCATCCCTGGTGGACAAAAAGGAGTGTGTGTGTGTGTGTGAGAGAGAGAGAGAGAGAGAGAACATAAAGTTCACCCACATTTTTAAGCGAAAGCAAGTACAAATGTCTTGTTCCTCTCTGCTCCTTCTCTCCTCCCCACCAGTATCCCAGGCCAAGGACTGAACGTTTCTCTAGCAACAATGGCACTGCTAACAAATGAAGAGGTCCAGAGAGACTGGGCCAGAGGGGAGGGCTCTGAATTTCTCTCATTATCTCAGGTGTTTACGATGTCACTGCAGCAGGAGGAAAAAACGGCAGAAGCTTTAACTAGAGGCCTTGGCAGAAGATAAAGGCTAGGGAAGGTCTCGCCTGTTTCTGTTTGTAATTAGTAAGGGAGAGCACGCTGCAGAAATCTCTGGCTTGGCGTGGAAATAAAATGACTCACTTAAGAGAGAAAACAGAGCAAAGCTACAGAGAGAGGGGTCTCAAAGCTTTCACGGGCCTGGAATTACCAAAGCGCGGCGGAAGGTTGCTTACAAAAGGCTCCCAAGTTAAAGTATCTCCAGGTGAAAGGATCTCAGACAGGCTGGAGTGGAAAGTTGGCACTACTTAGGAGTAGCAGGGAAGGGAGGGGGGCAATGAAACTAGAAGGAAGCAATGGTGTGGCAGCAAATTCAGAAGTGCAGGATCCCCTGATGGTACGGACAGCCACACCACCTCCTAAGTTTATACAGCTTTATAAGATTATACAATAATCTTATAACTATACAATAATAATAATAATAGTTATTCAGGATCATGAAAGGCACATGCTTCCTCTTGAACACAAGAACAAGTGTGATAGCACCGAAACTTTGGAAATCACTGCCTGTTGATATCAGGTAGACACTTGCACTGTATTCCCGCTGAAGCCATTCTACCCAGATGTTTAGAAAGTTTGTTTGAGTTTTGATTTATTTTAGTCTAGTCCAGCGGTTCTCAATCTGTGGGTCCCCAGATGTTGTTGGACTATAACTCCCATCATCCCTGAGCTCTGGCCTTGCTAGCTAGGGGTGATGGGAGTTGTACTTCAACAACATCTGGGGACCCACAGTTTGAGGAAGGCTGGTCTAGTCTATTGTGGTTTTGACTTTCTGTATGTTTTAAGTTGTGGTTGCCTTTTCACTTTGTGAGGGTTTTATCTTCCTTTGTAAACTGCTCTGATGTTTCTCCTACAAATCAAGAGGTATCTAAATTTGAAATAAACAGAGCAAGTGACTGTGAAGACACCAGCCAGGTTTTTATTCCTGGTGGACGATATTCAGAGTCCCATAGAGTAGGGTTGAGAAGAACGCAGACAGAAGTCCACTAAGGGACCTCTGCTTCATTGCATGTGGACATGCTGGTTACCACGTTCCTTGTACAGGATGCATGTGAGCACCGGTCTTAAGTTCTTAATCAAGAGTGCACACCCTCAAGATCATGAAACACAGATTGGCTATGTATGCTGCGATAGCTCAGTCTGCAGAGCATGAGACTCTTATATCACAGGGTTTGTGGGTTTGAGCCCCATGTTGAAATCCTGCATTGCAGAAGACTGGATTATATGACCCTCATGGTCCCTTCCAACTTTACAATTCTATGATTCTATGCCTTAAGACAGGGACGCGGGTGGCGCTGTGGGTTAAACCACAGAGCCTAGGACTTGCTGATCAGAAGGTCAGCGGTTCAAATCCCCACGATGGGGTGAGCTCCCGTTCCTCGGTCTCTGCTCCTGCCCACCTAGCAGTTTGAAAGCACATCAAAGTGCAAGTAGATAAATAGGTACCGCTCTGGCGGGAAGGTAAACGGCATTTCCATGAGCTGCTATGGTTCGCCAGAAGCGGCTTGGTCATGCTTGCCACATGACCCGGAAGCTGTATGCCAGCTCCCTCAGCCAATAAAGCGAGATGAGCGCCGCAACCCCAGAGTTGGTCACGACTGGACCAAATGGTCAGGGGTCCCTTTACCTTTATCTATGCCTTAAGACAAAGGTTAGCCTATGTAGAATCCTCCAGTTAATGGAGACTACAACCCCATTAATCCCTCACCGTTGGCATAGTAGAATACTTTCCTCTACACGACAACAGCTGCCAGGATGCTCATAGGAAAAAATTGGAAAGGGAGAAAAATTCCATCAATGAAAGAATGGCAAATTAAATTTTGTGAATATATAAATCTGGCAAGACTCACAGCATTCATAAGGGGACAATCAGACCAAAAATTATTAAAAGAATGGGGATGTGCTAAAGAGTATATGAAAAAAACATTGTTCTGGAGTAAGTATATCGGTATGTAATGAATGATGCTTTGCAGGGTTAAAGAAAGAGTAAAACCGTGTAAAAAGTATAAAGACAGAGGTAATCTACATTAGACACAACAACTTAGAAAGAGTAAAAATTTCAATGTCTTAGAACAAAGGAAGGAAGTCAATATGTGTATATGTATGTAATGACTAGATTAGAATGATGATATGGTTTTATTTGTAGATGTGTGTTTTTGTTTTTTATGTTTTTCCCCCCTCTTGTGTTTTTTTCCTTTCTTGTTTGTACTGTTTTATTATGGATTCAATGTTTGTAATTTTGCATTGAAAATAATAATAATAATAATAATAATAATAATATAATCCCTCACCATTGCCCATGTTGACTAGGAGCTGATGGGAATTGTAGTACAATGTTCAACTGGAAGACTCCATACCAGCCAACCCTACCTTAAAAGACTCTACAAAAGCATTTCTTGCTTTATTGGCACACACACCTTGGTGGTCTATAGGGGTGGGCAATATCTGGTTTTCAACTTGACACATCACCAGCTAAACACCACAATATACTGATCTATCACAATGTCTGAAATAAGGATAGAGTTATGTAGAGGCATTGATTGCCTTCATGGTTTTTCACACATTGTGATTTTTGCATAGCGCATGCACGCACACACACACATCATGATTCGCAATATATTGCCAAGTAAAAAACTATGAAACCAATAGGACGATATGGACTTGAAACTGGTTTTGCACGATATATCGCCTAACCCTAACACACATCATGATTCGCAATATCAAAAACTATGAAACTGATATCATGACATGGATTTTAAACTGGTTTTGGGATGATATATTGATATATCGCTCAGCCCTAGTGGGCTACAGAGATCCAGAATCTAAAAGCCATGTAGGGCAAAGATGATGGGAGCCAGCTCAGCCTTGCCATGGGGAGGAAAAAATAGTCTGTGCATGCCAGAATACCACTTGTTAGGAGCAAATAAGAAGATGGGAAGCTGCCTGCCTGCCTGCCCTGCTCAGCGCGTTCTAGTGGTGGCTGCAGACAGGAGAAAGAGAAGGCTCCAACATAGGGACAAAAAGGACCGCTTAAAAGGTGCCATCAAAACTGTCTATTAAGGCTGACCCGCCTCAAATTGGATGACTCTTCTTCAGGGGGCAACTGACCCAGTTTCAATGCGACAGCTAGAGCAATTCTCTGCCTGCTAACGTAACCTTTCGAGGCAAAAAGCAGCTTTTGAAGCTTCCTCTTTCTTCCTTTGTTGGAAAGAGGATGTTGGATTAAACCTTGCTCTGATCCAGCAGGGTGCTCCTTACCCTCTGAAAGGTGAACGAAAGAACGAATGACAGAAAAAAACAGCCCCTGAATCTCGGTGGCGAAAACAGTTCCTCAGCGTGCCTAAGAATCTTGCAGAAGCATCCGTTCGGCGTTGCTTGATTGGAGAGCTGCAATTAAGGCAAACATCTCCCCAGCACCTGCACACCGGGATGAATCAGCAATTTAAAGGAGAGGAGAGGGAGGGAGGTGTTTGTGTGTGTGGACCAGGGAATGCTAGGACATCTGTGGGGATTCTAGAGAGCTTCTGGAGCCTAGGATGTTCTGGGCCTGAGGAAAATGGCTGCCGTGGGACTATTTAGAAACATTTCGGTCAATTGAGCAGTCAAAACATTGCCCAAGCATTTAAACCAGTGGTTCTCAACCTGTGGGTCCCCAGATGTTGCTGGACTACAACTCCCATCATCCCTGAGCTCTGGCCTTGCTAGCTAGGGGTGATGGGAGTTGTAGTCCAACAACATCTGGGGACCCACAGGTTGAGAAAGGCTGATTTAAACATTAAACTATTATGAAACAACTTAAATTCTAAACTCCTCTAAGGAGTTATTAGTTATAGACAACAATGTTATATGGAAAGAAAAGGGAAGGGCTGTGGCGTTGGGCAGAGCAACTGTTTTGAATGCAGAAGGTACCACATTCAACCCCGGCATATCCAGGTAAGACTAGGGAAATACGGTACTCCTGTGGAGGAACTGCCAGTCCGTGTTGGAAATACCGAGTTATATATTCAAGGGTTCCAACAAGGTCCTCATTCAGTTATTAATGAAAAAGAAATAATGATAAACAATTATTACAATGAGAAGAAGATAGAGGAGAGTTGCATTTAAATGTGTACATCAGGAGAAAAATTCTGAGTAATTTTAAAGTGAAATACCGCATTTTTCTGAATATAACACGTCCCCGTGTATAACATGACCCCTATTTTGGGAGACTCAAATTTATGAAAATGGGGGAAGATGACCCCGCGTATAAGACGACCCCCATTTTTTAACATTATTTTAGAGTAAAAAAAGCCTAGTCTTATACACGGAAAAGTACGTTAAATTGGAAAGTGATGTGTATATGTGATGAACTGAAGAACGAAACAACAACAACAACAAACCAACCCCTAGAAACTGAGAGGAACTAAAATGGACAGATGTAGCCATCTTTACTCAGGGGAGATTCTGCCCACCAAGACTGCCTACTGGTTCCTCACGTGACCTGGAAGTGCTTTACAAAGGCTTTCAGGTCAGGCTGCTCTGTCCACCCTTTCTAGTTCCTGAGCTTGTGCCATGGGAAATTGTGTGTATTGTTGTGTGTAGATCGCCAGCGGGGAGGGAGAAATGGTGGTCAGATGTATGAATTGACCTGTCCCGTCCCCCCAAAAAAAGTGCAGTACGACGGTTTAATGACTTCGCCTGCCCCCGTTCCTAGCCATCATGAACACAACACTGTACATCACTGGGTTGGCGAAAGACCAGGAACTGCAAATCAATTTGATCGTACTCCATTGGATTTTGGCATGCTCCTTTCTTCGATTACAAAGCACTTAGGCTGTGTAGCCAGCGATGTTTCTGGGCTGCTCTGACCCCAGACAACTCAAGGTCTTGGGAACTGAATTCCCGCACTGAGGAACTAATCATTGCGACCACATTGTCCATGTTTCTGAAAGCGGCATGGCAGAAGGCTCAGGGGTTATGAATGAGGCTAAAAAGCACTCGCAAGTGCCACAAGAACCAACTTCATTTCAATATTTTATGGCATATTTTTTTAACGGTGCCTTGAGGACACCACTTTTTATTTTATTTTAGGATGCTCCCCTTTTCCTTTTGCATTACAGGGCAATTTTGTATGCTGTTGTGCAGGTTGGCACCACTTGACTTTGCTCTGTAGCTTCCTAGGCTAAAACCAGAGCTGTTAATGAGTCATGCTGTCATGCAAATAAAGCAACCCCCTCAGGGCGCTATATAAATTTACAGCGTTGTTAAAGAATGTGATTATTTTCTGAAGCACCAAAGGCTTGAACAGGCAGCACGCTAGCCGTTCAATAGTAGCTAGTGGTCAAATCTCTTGAGTAGCAGCATAAATTAATTCACAAACTCGTTAATGTTCAAACTGGGAAGGATTTCTGCAATTTCCACTTTCTGTACTGATTATCAAATGCTTAGCTTGATTCCAAATAGCCTTCACTCAGGCTGGATCCAAAACACCAACATCCACTTTTTTTTTAAGGGGGGCAGTTAGCCTACACAGCTGAACAACTCCCACCCCAGATGAACTTTCTCCAATCTGCGGTAGACTGATTACTGGAAGAGACACTGGCAATTGTTCTGCTTGTCTGGTGGGCCAAATTCTAGGGTCAAAGAATCATAGAGTTGAACGGGATCTGAAGCTTCATCTAGTTCTAGTCCAACTCCTTGCAATGCAGGAATCCCAGCTAAAGAATCTCTGACAGCTGTCCATCTAACCTCCATGCACCACCTTCGGAGATAGTCCGTTCAGCTATCAAACAGCTCTTGCCATCAGAAAATTCTTCCTAACGTTAAGTTGGAATATCCTTTCTTGTAATTTGAATCCATTGGTTCGGGCCCTATCCTCTGGAGCAGCAGAAAACAAGCTTGCTCCATCTTCCATGGGAGAAAGGCGTTCTCCAGATGTGGAGAACTTTGGGCACAGAGTTCAAACATGGCCCTCTAAGCCTTGTGATTTGGCCCTCAGGACTCTCCCTGGGCCTCAACCCTCTGTAGCCACGTTACCTATTAGTCCTGCTTTTCTCCCTGAAATTCTGGTAATGACTCTTCCTTGCCTGGATAGAGTATAGAGAATTTAAATTCATTGTACTGCCCATTTTTGCTTCTATCTCCTCCCGTGACAGGCTGCCCAGAAGGGAATGTGGCTCTTGGGCTGGAAAACCTTCCCCAGCCCTGTTGTAAGGGAGAAAAGTGTCCACAGCA